AAGCCCTAACGCATGGTGTTTTGGGCTTGGCCGCATACAGCATTACTACAGTGTAGTAAATGGCCTGAATACAAATAGCGTGCAGATGTGCAAACTGTAGCAAAGAAAAAAGCTCTGGCCACGTCACAAGCAAATCCGGGGCAGAGGTTCTGGGTTCTTGCATGACAGATGCGGGAGTGTCTCGGCTTTCATGCTTGACTTTTGACATGGAGCGTTGCAAAGCGACCGGTGACCCTGTTACGTTGAACCCGTGATCATGACGAGATTGACCAACACTATACATGGGCTTTGTTGCTCTCACCGGTCGGTGACACCTGGAAGATGCCATGAGCCATGAAGGCAGGCCATGATTGTCGTCAGCACTGGCACCGGGGTTAGCGACCTACAGACAAGTAGGCAGACGTGGAGCTGCAGTGTGCATGGGCAAAACAAACGTGCAAGTGCATATGTTCAACAGAAGCAACAGAGCCAAGCACATTTTTTCTTTCCGGTCAGCACAGACGTGAGTCACACATAAGCGAAGCAAAGATGCATGGCACCCCAGATGCGGCGGCGAGCCAGTGCCAGCCAGTGCCAGCACCAGCAGCCAACGCCTTTGCACCCCACCCCACATGGCCTCTACTTACTTGTGCTGCCTGGACATGTGTCGCACGTCCGTGTATAAAGCGACGCGATGCTGTCGTTCTCGCAGCGACGCCGAGTGCGTCGATGCTTCATGCGCTGCTGTCAGAGCGACACGCGGCAACAAAGCAGGGGGGGGCGTAGGCCGTCGCACCAGTCGCAAGGGGGGTGCAGGTCGCGGCAGCACCGCAGCTGAGCAGGGCAGGCAGCAAAAGGCATCAGGTCGTGCTGCTGTGAAAAATTTATCTTTTCGCGTTGCGCCGTTGCAAGGTGGCCAGAGGGCGGCAAATGAGGCGAGGGGGTCGAGTGGACGGGCTGGGGGTTGGGCCTTGGCTCAATCCGGGTCAGTGCGTCGTCATGGCTGGTACTCGTAGGCACCAGCAAAGCTGCCATGATGATCAGTCCAGCAACCGCAAACTGCTCTCGCCCCCACGACGCCGCCAGGCTGTGCAATATACATGCGTGCGGCGTGCTGCAGTGCTGGTAACAATGGACAGCGGGACGAGTGGTGCCGTGCAGACATGGGCGGGTGCATGATGATAAGTAGTCGATTGGCCATGATGGACAATGGGATGGCGGTGATGACGGGCAGAGGAGGTGAAGGAAGAGGCGAGTTGCATGATGCTGGCGAGCCCCCTTTTCTTCACTGGCAAAATCTTCTCGCTACCCAAAAGGTGACGCTAAGCCCCCCAATCGCTGCCCTATCCCTGCCCACTAGCGCCGCTCTAGCAGCTTGGCACGTCGCCGCCTGCGACTATAAGTACTCGGCTTCCCCCCAACTTTTTGACGAGATTTCCGCCTTGCCCGCCGTTGTCGCAACACCGCAACCTCTCAGCCCCCATCGCCGCAGATCGAACTCAATCTAGTTTCACCTGCGCGCCCTCTAATACTTGCGACCCACAAGCTTCGGTGTGCCCAATTTGCACATATCCACTCTCTCAGAGGTCCTAGGCGACTGCGATACTGCGATCGGCGCTAGCTTCATCCAGCCTGCGATAGCCTTGCGAAGTAGCCTCAGCCCCAGTCGACCAAACGACTTACCCCGCCAAAGGCTTACTGGCTACGCTTTTGGTCACTTAATCTCCACACTAACCCGGCCGTCCTCTTTGCGACAGCCTCATCTGCTACCACTACCACTACCACATCACCTGCTCGACAATAGTCTTGTCGGCGTTCGCGAGGGACACATTCGCTTGTAGCTCTCCTGCCTCCGGTACCGTCTCCACCTAGCCTATAGGCAGACCCCATCTCCCCGTGCGTCGACCGACCTCGCTCTATCCAGGCGATCTCGTAGTCCGCCCGCTCTTGACCGTCGCTGCCGTCGCAAAGATCTCTATTCTGACCTGCGCAGTCTGTCAAGATACCTATATCTCTCCACTAGCGTCTATCGCTCCAAATCCAATCAATAATCTCATCATGGATCCAAACTCTCTCACCTCTCATCCGTCCACCGCCGCACAGGCTCAGACGGTAAGCTCTTGTGATGTCTCACTCATTTGCCGCGCCATTCTAACCTCGTCTCCCAGTTCGTCGCCCCTGGCTCTCTCTCCTACCCTCAAGGCGCGAACTTGGACATGACTGCACCCTCCACTGAGCACAACACTCAACAAGTCGCTGAAAATGCGAACGGTGTTGCTACCCCCGCGGCTACTCCTGATACCCAGAATGGTCAAGTGCCCTCTGGTATCGTGCCTACTCTTCAGAACATTGTCGCTACCGTCAACCTCTCCGCTCGCCTTGATCTCAAGACCATTGCTCTTCACGCCCGCAACGCCGAGTACAACCCCAAGCGTTTTGCTGCCGTCATCATGCGTATTCGTGAGCCAAAGACAACGGCTCTGGTCTTTGCGAGTGGAAAGATGGTCGTCACTGGTGCCAAGTCTGAAGATGATAGCCGTCTTGCTTCCCGCAAATATGCGCGGATCATCCAGAAGCTGGGGTTCAGTGCCAAGTTCACCGTACGTCTTGTCGCACTAACCATGTTTCAGCCCAATGCTAACTTATAACAGGACTTTAAGATCCAGAACATTGTCGGCTCTTGCGACATTCGCTTCCCCATCCGTCTGGAGGGTCTTGCCTCGCGCCATCACACTTTCTCGTCCTACGAGCCAGAACTGTTCCCTGGTCTCATCTACCGTATGATGAAGCCTAGGATCGTTCTTCTTATCTTCGTCTCGGGTAAGATCGTCCTCACCGGAGCAAAGGTCCGTGAGGAAATCTACCAGGCGTTCGAGCTCATCTACCCAGTCTTGTCGGACTTCCGCAAGTCTTGAACAATTCTCTCCACAATCTTTTCCTCCATCAGCCTTGAATAACCACCTGGCTTCCAGGTGACATGGCTATGACTTGGGTATTCTCTTCAACCTTGTCTTTTTTTTTGCGGCATTGCATGGTGTTCAAAGGTGGGCTTCTTTTCCTTCCTCTCAAACTTTCCCAAAACTCTACAACATATATCCCCAGTCACGATTAGACATCTGTACATGGGCAGTCTTCATCTCTTAGTAATCCGGTTACTGAAGGCTTTACTTCTCTCTTTTCTTTTTTTGATGGGTATGATTGCGTTGGCGGGAGGCGCGTGTGGGGACGATACCGAGATTGCTTTATTGGACAGATGATGAAACGCGAGGACGCGTTGATGAGTGCGACCGTAAAAGTTCGCACTAAGGAGGGCCCTCTTTGGTTGCCGATAGGATGCCAGGGCTCCTCGGTGATGGATCCTCAATATCCATTGTGTATGTGTATATGACTCTTGGCCTTGAGACAAGTTAGGCATTAATGTCATTACGATATGATAATACCTCATGGCCCTGCTAGGCTTGTGATGCTTCTCCTTCATCTCATGTCTTATACATTGCCTGCCCACAAGATACCCCCATCGCTTGGAAATACCCACTCGTCCAAGCTCAACATGTCGGACTTGCTGAACAGCAAGTAGAAGTACTTGAGTGTCTGCATCGTCATCCTGAACTCTTCGTCATCTCTTTCAGTGTCGCCATTAAGCGCTTGCTCAACCTTGTCTTCCATAACTTGCTCCACACCCTTCCACATCTGCCACCCAACCTCCCTCCACCTCTCTTCTCCCGTAACCCGGTACAGAGCAAACAAACTCATCACCACTTCTGGCCGCACGCTCGGCCCCTTTTTATCCCATATCTTCTCGAACCCAGGGTACTCTTGTTCGGGCCACACATTGGGGTCAAACGAGCAGTCTTCGTCACTGTTGCTCAGTTTCGACGATGAACAGGCTAGCATCGAGAAGTTCTTTGGCATCATGTTGCCGTTGAAAGAAGGAGGGGCGTGCAGGGTTGTCCATATGCAGCCTTCGGTCAGAAGACGCGCGTAGGTGAGATGGGTATCGTTGTGCGTGAGTGCTGCTGACAAGGCGAGTGTGCTGCCGAGAGTGCATGACGAAATGTCGAGGTTGTGGGTGAGGGTTATGTGATATCTTTGCGAGGTGTATGCGGGGCTGGCCATCATGACGGATTCGTTCGTGGGGGTTACGGGGCGGAAGAGGATGTGCTGGATGATGGCGTCAAGGGCGCTTGCGGACATGCTGCTGAAGGGTGATGAAGTGGGCGCGGCGGCGAGGAGACGGGGCATTAGGGCGTGTTGTGCATATGTAGGACCCGATGCGGCATTGACATCGAAGGTATTGTGCGAAGTCAGGTCGAAGGTTTGCAAGTTGATTTCGGCGGGCCAGAGACCGGGGATTTTGGTGCTGCTTTGCTGCGATTCGAGGATATCTGTGACACGCATTACAGCGTCGTAGAATCGCATGTCGCCTGTCAGCTGCGACAGTCTGACAAATGCTAGATTGTATGTCGTAAGTTCTGCGAGTGTGGCATTTCCCGATAATTCTTGTTCCACACCGTCGGCGACTTTTGTTGCACTCCAGGACGGGATAGGTAAGCGGCTTGGAGTGTCGAAGAAGGTATAGAGCATGTCGCCCAACTCGAGGACTTTTTCTAGGAGCCGACTATCGCGACACTTTTGAAGGTCGTATGCTGAGAGTAGAGCGTACAGTAGTCGCGTCGTTTGTGGTAAGCTAGTTATCTGGTCGTGTGGTTCGAAATTTATCTCTGTCATGGCCGCGACGGCTTCTTTGAACTCCTCAGTCAATCCCATAATCCAAAAGTTCTCGAGACTTTCTATGAGCATAGTGGTCTGGTCTGTCATCATCGACTGTGAACTCTCAACTATTGCTGTACCTGTTGCTGCATCCCTTTCTGCACTCCAGTATTTTTGGAATGTTGCTTTGACTGCGGCATGACGACGAGAGCGCACAACTGTCTCTCGATACGAGGATGCATCGGTGATGAATTTATGCTGGATTCTTGATGAATGGCCACTTGCTGGCCATGGTAGCTGTGCTAGGGCATTTACAGCATAGTGTTGGGTAGTAGTCCTGTAGAAGCTATGCTTTGATGAGGTTGATACAGAAGGGTTTGAAAGGTGGGTAGAACAGGAGTGTTCATATGGTTGAGAAGAAAGAAACCAGAAAGAATGGTTGGACTTGTAGAAAAGAAGAATGGTGAGGGAGACCAATAGGAGAAGACCTGACCACCGTGTACCGGTTCGTGACCTGGCTGGCGATAGGCCGAAAGGGAGGGAGCCTTTGCGATTATGCATGATGATTGAGAGTTTTCAAGGAACGATGAAGAGAATCCTGAGGGAAACGCGAGGAAATAAAACCATCAAGGTGGTGGTGCGGCCGGAACAATTCATGTTTCAATGATACAGTTGCTATTTGTGAGCAGTTATGGAAACCATTCGCATCGTTGCGTGTGTCAGTGGTGCCCCTGGTTGAAGTTCAAGTAGAGTTCAAAACTCTTTGGTTTCGAAACATGTCGAGCAACATATTTTTTTGCTGTGTGAGCCCTTAGTAATTCCATGACTATTCGGACGGAAGTGTGTAGAGCCTGGAGATATGATGCCGGGATGATGGAACGTGATGGTGCCTAGGGAGGGGTGGGTAGGTGCGCGGAGCGTGCAGTTGAAAACAAGAGAAGTGTGCGAAGAGCCCTGGAAGTATTTTGCCCTTATATACGAGGCTCCTGGAGGAATTTTGCATTCTTGTACCTTGGATGGTGGGATTGTGGGAAACGAGGGAACTGTTGGGTCGTGCGGGTCTGCATGCAGCCGTGTGCGTCAGTAGCTTGGCGCCTTCCTCCTTTCAACAATCACAGCAAGCCATGTTGCCATGGCTTCACGCTCACGCCCTCACTCTTTACCGCGTAGTGATGTAGCCGCCACTTTTCCTGTAGCTCTAATATGTAATTTTTCTTATACCGATGCATTCCTTCCTTAGGCCCTACCAGTACTGCCGCCTTTCCCATCGCAGCCGCAGTCATGCACATCCCTCTCTTCCGCATCTGGTACTCGACCACGTACACAGCGATCCTCATCATCCTGCTCCTGTTCCTTGCCGTCACCCCTGCCGACACGATATACCAGTCGATAAAATCCAACGAAATTCAGAAGCTGTTCGTCATTGGCGGAGTCTATGTCCTTACGAGTCTGATTGTGTTGTTGATTTACTCGACGCGCATCTACACGAATAGGACCGTGCTTGCTGCGATACCAAAGAGCTATGTGCCGGTCGAGGAGGGAGAAGTGGGCAAGGGGGTGAGGAGGATGATAGTCAAGCATTTCAAGAGAAGTGCCGTTGTTGCATGGGACAGCAGGCCGAGGGACCTCAGGGGTGAGGTCGAGGATGAAGATGAAGAGAAAGGACAGCTTTCGCGCGCAGGAACGGCTGAGAGTAAGAAGGATAAAGAAAAGTCGCACAAAAAGAAAGGTCATCACCACCATGCGCCTGATGCGACCATCATACCCGTCTCTCCAAAGTCGCCGCCTTGGGGACATATTTCCCATCCTGGTTGGGCTTCTCCCTCTTCGCCGGACCTGCCTAACCTGCAGTATTGGAGCGTTATCTGCGAGCTCCCCAATCTCATCGAAGCAAAGGCCGTTTCGCTTGCGCCGCCTGACCCTGCGCTTGAAGAAAGCGCCCAGCAATACCCGGACAATGCACCGCCTCTACCAGATGCTCGAATCGTCACCCTGCTCCAGCGCCCGCGCGCAATGGGTTTGCGCGAATACCTGTCCCGACTCGCAGAATTCGGACTGCTGAACCCACCCTCGCTCGGCCCTGCATTCCTCGCGCAATACGAGTATGCGCGCTTCTCCACAGCCAGCCTAACTGAAACACAATTCCGCGATCTCATGGCCATTTTTGCAGAAGTCCTAAACGGCATGACAGAAGTAGATCCGGACGTTATCGAGGAAGCACGCGCACTGGATGTGGAATCAGATACACGCAGTCTTGCGCCTACAGAATCCAGCATGGACTCAACCGTCTCCTCGCACTCACACATGCCCTACCGTACACCGCAACTCGACCGCAAATCCACCCTGTCATCTCTCAACAGCTTCCTGTCCACATCAAGCAGCGACGCCTCCACACCGCACTCTCCGCAAACCGTCCGCACCGCACCCTCACGCCAGCACGAGCGCGGCTCCACCATCTACGGCACACCCTCGCAGCGATCGCTCGCCGGTTCAGAATCCGAAACAGGATCCGTGATCATTCACGCCCGCTCGCGACGCAGCCCGAGTACCATTCTCCCAAATTCTAGTGAGAGCTCGTTGGGTTCCCAGGGCAGTGTTATACGTTTGAATTTGAATCCCAGTGAGGGCGAGTTGCCGTATCAGTACAATATCGACGGGGGATGAATGGATGTATGAACTTGGGACGAACGATATAAACACATTTGCACACACACATGTTGGACACGCTAGAAAAGACGTGGAGTTCGACCAGATACGCTTGGAGTTCAAGCGTACGCCAGAGAGAAAGCACGCAGTAACGATTGCGCGCCGAGGAAGACGAGAAGGAAAGAAAAAGAGGGGAACATCCAGTGCCGAGGTTGCGACGTGGAAGGAAAAAAAACAAGAAGAGGAAGAGGAAGAAGAAAGAGGAGATACCCACTGCACAAGTGCAGTCAGTAATCGGCACGAGAAGTTTGTGTCTGAGGCACGCATACGTAGTCTCTCCAAAACCCAATCACTTGCGATTCCACTTTTTGGAAGCAAAAAAAAAATGACACTAGATTTTCAAGGACGCAAAAGTCCATATTTATTTATTCACCATACTTTCTTGTACATAATTTTTTTTACTTTATTCATTACGGTATTCACATAACCGAAGAAGTTACATATTGGTGTTCAAATATTTCATAGTTATTCAACTTTGATTTTTTGAAGAAAGTTTAGAGTTGCTAAAAAAAAAACTACTTGTGGATTCGCATATACATACATACATCTGAACGAGGCATGGGAAAAAATCGTACAAGATACTCTCTCTCTCTCTCTTTCTTGGTTTAAGCCACTTTGAACGTTTTTTCTTCTTTATTTATTTTCTTACTCGGCAACCCAGACAGCAGCCATACCCATACCGGTACCAATGCACATGCTGGTGACACCGATTTGCTGCTTTGTTCGCCTGAGCTCGGTGAGCAGAGTGCTGACTTGCCTGGCGCCAGTGACACCGAGGGGGTGGCCAAAGGCAATAGCACCACCCTTGGGGTTGATCTTCTTCATGTCGAGACCAAGTTCGTTGATGCAGTAGAGGCACTGGCTGGCGAAAGCCTCGTTGATCTCGTAGATGTCGACTTCGTTCTTGTTCAGACCGGTCTTCTCAAGCACAACGGGGATAGCGGCGGCGGGACCGACACCCATCAGTAGCGGAGGTACACCGACAATGGAGGCCTGGACGAATTTGCCAATGATCTTTTGGCCGAGGCGCTCGGCTGTGCTGCGTTTCATCAGGAGCACGGCGGCGGCACCGTCAGAGATTTGAGATGCGTTACCAGCGTGGATGGAGCCGTCTTTGGAAAAGGCAGGGCGAATCTTGCTAAGAGATTCGGGGGTGATGCCTTGCCTGACGCCATCATCCTTGCTGACGGTGATGGTCTCCTCCTTGTCGGTCTTGGGGTTGGTCCACTTGACGGTCAAGGGTGCGATTTCCTCGTCAAAGAGACCCTTGTTTTGAGCCTCGACGGCCTTTTGGAACGACGACGCGGCAAAGGCGTCTTGGTCAGCTCGCGCAATGCCCTTGGCCTTTGCCATTTGCTCCGACAACACGCCCATGGGTACCTTGCAGTTTGCGGCTTCCTTGTGGTTCTCGAGGAGCTCGGAAAACTCAGTGACGGCGCCTGGTCCGTATTGTGTGCTCATGCTCTCTGCGCCTGCGCCAATACCGACTTCAATCATGCCAGACTTGATTGCGTTGGCGATGTCGACGCATGCCTGGAGACCAGAGGAACATTGCCTGTTCAAGCTCTTGACTGCGGTCGTGGTAGGGAAGCCAGCAGCAAGAGCAGCAGCGCGGAACTCTGTTGCGCCACCACCCGGGGCGAGAACAGCACCGACAGCGATGTCCTCGACGAGCTTAGGGTCAATACCCGAGCGCTCGATGATGGCCTTGTAAGCACCGTGAAGAAGATCAGCTGCTTGTGTATCTTTGAACCCTCCCTTTCCGCCCTTGGTGAAAGCTGTGCGGAGCGCGCAGGTTACAACAACCTGTCAAGCATATTGTCAGTATGCAGATTCTGAAAGAGGCGCTTGCCTCGTCACGCTGAAACCTGGTGTAAACACTCACATCGTCAGGCCTCTTCTCAAGGAGGTTCTTCCTTCCCTTGGATCCTGATGCGCCAGAGCTTGCAGAACCACCAAGGAGATGGCCTTCGACCTGCGTAAGGCGCTCTTGTACTATACAGCAGCGCCGTCAGTATACCGTGTCAAAATCATGTCTTTGTGCACCAAAGCATACCTTTGTTGGGGGCTTGGTTTGCCATGTTGACGCTCGAAGACGATATGAAGACGAGAGATGTGAGTTGGGAGATGGAAGAAGGAGAAGAGGGTAAGAGAAGGAAGGTGAGTAGAGAACAGACGAGAGAGGGAGAGAAGCTGGTGTATACACCTAGTCTTCTCGCGCTCGGCTCAATGCAATTAGGTCATTTGCCTCGCATTCGCCGAGGCAAGTACTGCTTTGGGTTAGTGTATTTGCGGGGGTCGTCATGCCTTCCGGGGAAGGTAGTTTTCACATGCTTTGGGGGGGGGGGGGAGTCGGAGGGATGGGCGGTCAGAGCACGCTTCACATGTCAGTCAGCACAGTGTTGCTTGCCATGTGCTCGGATTTGTAACGTTCTTGGATAGTTATTTAGTGTGATGTTGCTGATGCAGATGAGATTTCTGGTTAGAAACACCACCTTTCAGCGCAGCCCCCAAGAAAAGACATATTGTCAGATTTCAAGCTAACTGCCAGGCCTAGCTATGCCTGCCATTCTCGAATCTAATTCGAGCCAAGTAAAGTGATACATGTAAGTTCGTAATATTTCGTTGCAGCCATTTGAAGCTGCTCTCACCCCGGAACGCCCTGCTCAAACACAACAATTTCTTGGCACACTAAAGAGTGCCCGACTTCATCGCTTACTATCAGCATCCTGCCACGGACTGTCCCTGACCTGTCTCTCCAGCTCATCTACAATACTACTCCTCTGTACTTCCTCGTAGCCTGGCGGTGGATCCGATGGCGGTTCAAAGTGCTCTTGCTGCGTCCGTGGGCTCGACAGCGAGCTCGATGGTGGTGGGCTTGAGGGTTCGGGCGCCGCAACGGAACTGCCGACACCACTCATACTTCCGACTGCAGAGTTGTCCATTGGCGGGCTAGGTAGCGGGTCAGGTACTCGAGCGTGCTGTCGGCTCTCTTCGTAGGCCGGTAGATCGTCGAGATGCACGTTGTTCATGTTCACACCACCAACACCTCTGGTTCCATCCTGCACATCACCACCGCTCTCCCGCGCTATCTCGATGGCTTGCCGTAACCGTTCCTTCAGTCGCTCGAATATGCTTGCGAAATCGAATGCACCGCCCTCTTTGAATTCCAGAACAAGGTCGAGCTCAGAATGCTGTGGAGGTATGCCGCCACCTTGGACAGGCTGAATGATGGCTTCCCATTTGTTTGCGCCGAACCATGGCGCTGTTACACGCGAGTCGGTTACGTTGAGAATGGGAACGGCGAAGGATTGCAATTGTGGTGTTGGGTTGACGGGCAGATAGATCATCTACGATGCAAGTTAGCTCCACAATGGGATGGGTCAGGCCATGTTTGCCTGGCAAGGGAGGATGGATGTATCGTACTCGTCGATTGGTGAGGAAAACGACGCCCGACTTGCATTGTTGCGAGTAAGACTCGCTCGGAGGGTGTCGGTGGCTGGTCTGCAATGAGAGCGTGGTTCGAGGAGGAGACTGGTACAGCGTCTGCTCGCCGGGGAGAGGGGTGTAGCCGCCATTCTCAGCGAGCATCACCCAGCTGGACTTGCGGTTAGACTTTGTCTTGCTGGTCATTTTCTCGGACCTAAAGCCCATGGTGCAGTGCTAGGGTGCGTTCTTATGCCCTGGGTGTAGGCTGCCTCAGGCTGGCGCAGGTAAAGCCGTGGGGGAAGAGGGGCAGGCAGCAGCAACACCGGGCAAGAAAGGGCAGCAGTAACAACAACGATGATGATGATGATGACAGAGAGAGCGGAAAGGAGGAGAGAGAAGAGAAAGGTGTACTGACTTGACAGACATGGTCGAGACTTGTTGCTGGCTGCAAACTTGTTCACGGTAAAGCGTGAATAGTTCGCCCACACCCAGCAGTGCCAATGCAAGCCCTCCTGCGTGCACTAATAGTGCCTGCGCCCGCCCGGACGTCTTTCGGGCCGACGACCGCCTCCTATCAAAAGTCGAGCTGTGGCTCCCGCGTGGATGCGAGTGATCTGTCTAGCGGCTGGTGTGGAGACGAACGGTGGGGTTGCTGAGCTCGATGGGTTGGCTGGGGCTGCTTGTCGCGGCGAGCGCGGTTGTCGCGAATGGCTGGTGTTGGCGGGTTGTGCGTTGGGGGGGTGGGTTGTGGAAGTTGGGAAAGGCTGAGTAGTAAGTATGCGCATCTAAGTACACATCATATGTAATGTACTAGATATGCATCACCGTCGGATACAGCACGTGCGACTCCCGGCGGCTATCGTCTTTCAAGGCACTGTAACTCTGCGTCTCCTGCAGCTGCTGCTGATGATCCCGTAAGACGCGCTTGCGTCACCCCGAGGGCCCGTGGCGGGGGGACTACACAGCCAATCACCCAATCAAAGCTTACAAGACCACACACCCATCGGGTGGCCAAGATCGGCATTAATGCACACTACTTGTCTCACTGACATACGTACGTAGTCGGACATACATATATGTACTCCATATGTATATGTCTATGTATACCCAGGCCCCTGTCCCTGCTATCTAAGCTTTCAACGAACATGATGTGCTCTCACCCCTGTCCAAAGCAGCAATTACAAAACCCTATCTCTATCCATCGTCCTCCCTCTCTGTCATTGTCCATCTCCTCTTGGGTCCCTGCCTATGCTCATACACGTCGTCAAGTTTCGGTGGACCCCAGAGCCCATGGCTGGGCTTAGGTGCCGCCTTTGCGCCCCAAAGACCTGTTGCACTCACCGCACTCTGTTTCCGAGTGGCGGCGTTGACCAGCGGAGTTGATTTGTCGCCCACCTCCCTTTCTTCCTTTGAGTCCAACTTGGTAAGACGGTTGGTTGAGTCAGACGCGCCGTCTGATTGTGAGATAGGCTTCACGTCTTGTTCACTATAAGACGCCCCAGCACTCATAGCGCCAGCGGGCTTCGACCGTACTTGTTGATGTGCAGAGTGAAGGCCCGTTTCTGCCTCTACAGCAGGTGTGCTCGCTCCTGACCACAAGCCTCCTGCAGGAGATGCAGCCCCACTCGTTGCACTCTGGATGAACCTCGAGTTCGACCCCGAGCTCATGGTCCGACGCATGCTGCTCATGGAGCTGTTCCGGGTCCTGTAGGGCTCACCAATTGAAAACGGTGTCTCGGAAGGAGTACTGGCAGTCGAGGATCCCGTAAATCGTCGACGATGGTCTAGCAATGGACTTGGCAACACAACTGGTGACTGTGCTTGTACTTGCGCCTGCGCCGAAGGTGGTTTGGAAGGATCAACGCCGGGCCGCAGATGGTCGATCGAAGCTGAGAGCTTCACCTCGTAAGTATCCGGCATACCGGGGTCCGCGACTGAGAGTCGCCGCTCGTGCAAAGTTGATGGCGCTGGTGTTTCCCTGGGCTCGTCCCTCCGGACCGCCATTGAGAGAGAAGCGAGGCCAATGTCCATGAGTACAGGCTGGTTAGTCATGGCTCCCAGGAGAGCGTTGCAACCGGCTCCATGAGTTATTAGAATCAGCACAACCTCCTCCTCTTCCTCATCGGGCCCATCGCTAAAGTTTGGAAAGGGATCTGACTTGGTTTGCGACATACGTGGTGGCGTCAGACGAAGCGGCTCCCGGAACATAAAACCTGGGATCTGGTTCTTGGGAGGTGCAGTGCCATGCGTCCTATACCATTGCAGCATGCCCGCAAGACCTCTTCTGAAGCGCTTGTGCATTGTGCTCCATTCGTCACCAAACTGTCCGCCATCGCCCCAGTTTTGAGGTTCGCGCATACTGTCCCATTGAAAGTCGACTTGCACACAAGCGTCTTGCGCGTGAGCAACGTATCCGCGCGGTATAGGATCAGCCGGAGAAACCGAGTAAGACGGGTTTGGGGGCTGGTAGATACGACTTGATGTACTAGTAGGACCTGGTGTAGGTGTAGGTGTAGGTGCCACAAGCGCTGAGACGGCTTCTCTTGGAACGGTGCCTGGTAGAGCCAACGGACCAGTGTAGCTGCTTGACCGTTCGCGCAAGGGCAGAGCCTGTGCCAGGCTGCCCATTCTTGCACCCTGTGTGGTACTGGCCGCAGCCTTGTTCCCTGTCCAGCCGCCTGGAAAATGACCCCTACTGCTGTTTGGATTGGGTTGTTCTTGAATGTAATCGCCTCGCCGCAGCAGATCCGCCTTTGCACCAGCTACCATCATGGTCGAGTTGGGAGGCGCTGTGATGTCTGCGTAATACTCGGGAGACAGCCACTCGCCCAAGAAGGCATCGATACGTAGCAGAATTCTCTCCGGCCCGGTATGGGGTTGGGGTCGGATCTCGAGGTTGGGGTCGGCGAGCGGTTCAAAGGTTCGAGGTTGCGATGATGTCGGTTTGGTACGTGGTGCTTTCGACGAGGAGCTCCCCAATGTGCTGTTCTTTTCCTTGGACAGTGTCGGTATGCTGATTTCTGGTATGGTTGACGCCTGCACTTGCGAGATTCCCGCTGCCACTGCAGTACTTGTTTGAACGCATCTTAGAAACGGGCTCGAATGGATGATAATCTTTCGCTTCTTCTTCTTCGGTCGTTGGGCGCCGCTTTCCTGTGCCTGCCCATCTTGCGAGATGGTCAGCTTGGCCAAGCCGAGCTGCGAGGGATCGTGACTAGGAGAAGTCTTCGCTGCTTCTGCCTGCTGGTTGTCTCTCTCAATGAGCAATGCAGCTATGCGCTGGCCAAGTGCCTTTGCTTGCGACCAGCCGCCGTATGTAAGTGGGGGATCGTAGGGTGCAGGCGAGGTGAGATGCCATGACTTGTCAGCAGCATCCAGCCGGGCGCCGTGCCTGTGAAGGATGTTAGCGACAGGCTCGGAATGTGGAGCCGTGAATACGGTTGAGGCGGTACCTGGCGACAATTACTACTGCGGGACCTTTGCCATTTGCCATGACGCGCTAAGAAAAGCCTCGCGTCTTGCGTGCAGCTATCGGAAGCTGTCAGAATTGGATTGTTTAAGAGAAAAAAAACACTCGAGGCACCATGCAAGGAGAAACAAAAACTCCGAGACAAGGCAGACAACTGGAAGAGTTAGCACAGCAGTAGCGTAG